AGACGGCGGCGGCGGTGGTGAATTATTAGCTTAGCTTTAAATCGGGTGGATGTTTGGGACGCCGCCAGCTCGCGGAGCCTCGGCGGTGTCGCCTTAAGGAAGCAGGTGAGGAAGTGCAGAGAGGTTGGGAAGGGGGGGATGGCAGAAACTGGCGCTTTAGCTTTCTGGGCACGGAGGGAGGAGGGGGGCATTGCTGCCAGATGGGAAGTTGGAGTCGGAGCTCTCTTTGGGGCACGCTGAGCCATTTGGCGTCCATCCAAATGGGCAATTTCACAAGGTAGCAAAATAAATAAATATATAAATGTTAAAAAAAAAAATGCTCACAAACAAAGCAAAAGTTAAGCAAAGAAAGAGCTGGAAACTGGATCTGAAAAACCATTTCTCCAGCTCTGGTGGTAATTATACCCGCTGCTGCTCAGCATGAGGTAATTAGCACTGCAGTGTGTAGCGAGGCATGTTATACAAATGTTCATGTTGATGCATGTGTCATAGGATGTACAGGTGTAAGAAAGGGGGCGCTTGCAAAGAGCATCACGAGGTGAAGCCGAACAAACCAGACAAGGATTATTATATATATATCCGCGCTACTGGGAAGACTGCCCGGCTGTATGCATACTGACTCGGCAGCCAAATTGAATTTCACGCTTTCTGTGGACTCCCACTGTGTACTGAATCCACAGAGGGATAAAGCAGCCGTAAAGCTGTTGTTTAATGTATTGTGTGCAATGACAAATGCTAAATATATTCTCACTTGGCCACATACATCCCCTCTAGTTACGGCGGAAGTGGTGGCGGGCTGCAAAACGACTTCTAATCGTTTCTACATGAATCAAACGCTTCCGCGGTATTGTTGAGAAAAGAGGAATCATCCGCCGGTCGTCTTTAAAAGGGAGATTTTTTTTTTTTTTTCCGAAGAGGAGAGGAGTGGAGGGAATCGAGAGGAGCAGCACTGTTCCATATGCATGGCTGGAGCTGGCTTAATTGCAGCGCCGGGGTGCACTGGGATCAGATAGTATGGACTAAAGTCTAGCGATGTGAGGCACCCATCCTAAGCATGTGGGAGATGTGAGGAGGCTGACAGGCGAAGGGGCCGGCGGTGAAACGGAGGTAAATTCTGCCTCTGAGGCTCGACACCGTCTCCAAAAGTTTCAGGCAAATAAGAGGAAAATTTCGGAGATGTAGATTAGACATTGTGGACATAAATAATGCAAGAATTTCCTCCCTGCACCTGGAAGGGATTAAGAAGATACTACACTTACTTTTTCCGCTATTCACATAAAAATCCTGATCAGTTCACAAAAACACTTGCCACTAACTGTCTCATTCCTCACAAAGCTCACCGACTCATCAACAAACGCCTTCGAGTGCACGTGAACCCACCCGGAATAAAAGTAAGGATGACATTTCCCGTGCACTTTGTGTACGATCTTTTCAATTCAAGGTAGTGTAGGAACAGAAAAGAGCAACATCATGAGTCACGCAGGGATAAGGGTGCACTTAGGCCCCCGCCTTTCGCTGTAATGTTGGTCAGAATGGAAGGCGTCCAACTGCTTTACCAGCTCAGGATGTCAGCACGTCCTTAAAACTCCCGGGAGTCCTTTATCACGGTGTTCAGACTCCATAAAACGCTGCTTATTACACTAAATCTGCCATGTGTTTTAATACGGATGGCTGTTTGATCCGCCGCCATCAATCACGAAAACACCACCGCAATGAATTTCTCCTCTCCAACTCTCTCAACACTCGAATGTTTGTACTTAACTAAGGGTGGTCGAGATACACGAGGTCGGCGTGACGTTGAAATTAATCGGACGCGAATTTGTCTGCGGCAGGAACAAAAGGACAGATGCGGGATAAACTGCAATGCCCACAGGAGAGCAGTAAAAAGTGGGCAGATCGATGCCAAAGAAGAAACCTCGGGCTAAATACAACAAAGGAGGAAACTGCAGAGGTGTCCTGGTGGTTTGGCAGCCACCACGTGGTCAGTCCATACTGGGATTGAGATCTTTCTTTCATGCTGCGGCGGTCTCTTTTATCGAATCAATCCATACAACTAACCCAGATGTCACACATGTAGCCGTGTGTTCAAGGCTCTTCCATTTTCATTTTTATTTAATTCTAACAAGACACCTAGGTGTGAGCAAATTGTCGGGGCTTGGCGGCTTCCTATCCATTTGTCTTTGTTCCTTGGCTGCGCTTTAGAGGACATACGTGCTGGACATGATTTTACCCATTGGCCACGTTAACGTGCTCTCGAAGATTTAGCTCCATTCGTGCTGGAAGAACAATGATTGCTTCCTGTTTTTCTGCCATGGAGGAATCCAAATCCAGATTTCTTCCAAAATCCAACAAGATTAAAGACAGATAAAATGCAGTGTAGAGACTCCAAGAGGCATCGCGTTTCCTCCTTCGGAGTCTTGTCGACAAGCAGTCGACAAACACATTTGGTAAGTTTTTACAACCAGCAAGATGGCGGGATCTCGTCTGACACAAAGTCAAAGAAATGAAATAATGCAGATGCTCTACACAAGTCTTTTCAAACACCCTTTTCTTTACTTACTCGACAGATTTAGATACTTTCCACCATTGCTACTGTGTGTGGATAAACAGGGTTCCCTTTTTCGTAGCAAGGCGGAGGGTAAGGGGCGTGGAGGTCAGGGCGGTGGACGGGCCAGTTGATTCAGGGTTTAGTTGAAAACATCAGCTTTTTAAAACAAGCTTTCTTTGATTCATTGCAGCAAATGTTTTTCTTGCATCTTGCTGCATAACTGCTGCATCGTGACGTCAGTTTTCGGTTGAATGGGAAAGTTTCTGATATTTTAAAAGTACTGGACGAGTTCAAATGTTGACAAATGAAACATGTGGTTTGTACATTGTGCAAAGTTGTCACTGCATACTAGCAGCTGCTAGCACAATGCATGAGCAGCTGAAGACAAAATATATACGATCTACAGCGCCCTCCTGTTTAAGATGTGTTCTTTAGCTTCTAGTAAATTCAGTTTTTTTCTAAATAATTTTGGACCACAATGAAAAAAAAGACTAAAATTCAACCTTTAATTCAAGTGTATTTATTAAGTGTGAAAAAAATCCCACATTAAAAAATAATTCTTTTGATTTCTCTTGATGTTCATACTTTGTGCAACCCCCCTTTTGCCAACAAGTCATTTGAGTTGAGTTGAAGGTTAAATTTTTCTACAATTTTCAGTCTGAGAGGATGCTTCTGCAATAAAAATTGAATTTATTTTAAGGCTTTTAACACATCTTAACCAGGGGTGCCAATAATTTTGGAGGGCGCTGTACTCCAAAAAACAAAACCATTGTAAGGGTAGTCCTGATACACGCCCTACGTTAAAACTTCACAGCCTGGTACTTGTTCTGGCCTCTATAGCTAATTTCCCAGATCGTCACAACTGTATGTTGGTGAATATTAATATAAATTACTGGTTTATAGTGTATTGATTCATAAACTAATGCTTAATTAAGAGCATATCTGCTTTGAGTGACGTGGGTGCAATCACAGGACAGGCTCACCTCTCTAATGTTTCCCCTCTTTGCTCATTTTTGGAATAGTCGGAAGCTACGAGGAGTCATTGACAATTAACACCAAGCTTAAAACCTGCTCTTCATTAAATCCGATTGGGGTAATTGTGTATGGTTTTATTAAAAGGCTATAGTTGGGACATGCACCATTAAGTGTTTGAAAATAATTTGAGGAAAATTAATCATTTCTATTGAACAAATAGCTGGGAAAGAACAGACGACTGGTTATAAAAACAGCATTTACTGGTGTTTCTATTCTACACTGAGCCACTTCCTGTCACTTCCTCACACCGCCTTGGATTTCATCTTCATTTCTCTGGAACACTTTGTTCTCATCCCTAACCTTTTATCCCATTTTATATCTCCTGTCTGTTTACCATCTTCCAGACAGTACACCGTCAAGAAATGCTGTAAAAGAAAAAAACGAGTGACCCTCAGACCAGGCTTCACTGCTTCTCCTCAGATTGTACGTGACAGTTGTCCATCAGCCAATGCCTCCCCGGCAGCATCTTGTGTTTTCTGTCTCGCAGCGATGCTAATGCAGGCGCCACGACAGATGATAAAGGCAACACCTGACCCCCATGACGCGCTGGAAAAAAGCGAACCTTTTAGCAGGCCGACTGCCATCGCAGATTAATCTGCGAGCGCCGCACGCATGCTTAACGCACATAATGAGGAAATTGGCTATTTTGAGAGAGAGCGAGCAGTGAGAGGAGACGGGATTCAGCAGGAAGACGGCAAAGCAGAGGGTTTTAAACACTACACAGCATTCCTTTCTATTGTTCTGACTCGAGTTGGAAGGTCACCCCACCGCTGGACGACGCGAAAAATGGCAAAGATTAACCGATGCCGAGGTCAAGACTCGAGAACCTCCTGCCAAAGCTACCTTTCACGAATCACTTATGCCTTCTTCCATGACCAAACAAAAAAGAGCAGCTGTTGCATAAAACATAACCACTTCCAGGAAAGAAGCCTATTTTTTTTTTTTTTTAGCTCGTAAACAAAAAATGTAATTAACAGGACTTTTCACAGACATTTGATCCCTCCGTGTAGCAACGCAGAAGATTAATTTGCCGGAGTAGCAGATACGTGGCTTCAAAAGTTGACTTCCAATTTTGTGACTTAATTAAAAAGGGCCCATTAAATCTGTACATGTGGGCGTAAAAACAAGTCAAATACAGGCGTTTATAGCGCTGAAAATGGCAACATGTTTCATACGGCGCTGGGAAACGTAGGCCCAACACACAAAAAGACGCCGTGATTCATTGTGCGAGGGAGTCTAAATGGCTAAATCTTGAATTTTTCCACCGATGATTTATTATAATTGCCGCAATGGATGTGATGTGGTGGCGTTTTGAAGCATCGAAAAGGCGTTTTTAAGGTTCTCGGAGAGGAAGCGGAACAAAGAGTTTCGATGGCGTATTGAACACGCCGATCACTGGCGGCGGCGTCGCTCTGACCTGTGAGGTTGCGTAAGCCCAGCTGCCGCAGGCCGAAGTACCCGTCTCGCCTGTAGTTGAGGAAGATGGCCAGGGCGTACCGGCCCTCGTACAGCTTGGTGCCCCGGATGATGCGGAGGTTCTCCAGCGGCAGGTGGTCGAACTGGTTCAGCGCCACCAACACGTAGCCGGTCACCTCTCTGATGGACTGTAAACAGACAAGTGATGGAGACACGGTTAATATGCATCATTTCTTCAAACACAAAAAATGTGATCGAGAAGTCATGTTTGGCAAATGAAACCACTCTGGAAGTTCAATTAAATTCTAATCTGTCCTCAAGATTTACCCAGCATCTATACCTGCTGTACAACGAATCAATCAGAGCATTCAAGTATCAATACAGCAACACAAAACATAACTTTTTCATGCAAAAGAACACAGATATTAGCAGTTAAATCTATATGTGACATCAGTTGATTATTAACACAAAAGCATCAGAGTATAAGCTTCGTGTTGATGAAGTAGCTGCTGCAGATGGAGCTACTTTGAACTACTTTATATACAGCATCCTATACGGGGAGAGCAGATAAAACGGTGGGCCCGTCGGATGATTAATGAGAGAGGAAAAAAAGGAAAAGAAAAAGTTATGATCCAAAAGGCTGTTTGTGGACTTTTTCCTCTAATCTTTAGGTTTTGGTGAGATAACGGATCATAGGAACGTTCACTGAAACGGAAGAAGTTTAGAGAAAAAAATTAAATAAAAAATTCATTATTTGGTGGAAATGTGACCCCAGGAAGGTCTAACTATATGTTGTGTTTGAAAAAGTTTGGTATATTACGCATTTGAAGCAATCTTAAATGAACTAAAGCTGTTAAATAAAGGTAGAGGAGGAGATAGTTTAACATAAGATGGAAACACTGAAGTAAAGTACATGTGCAAAAGCACTTAAGGAAATGTACTCCTTTTACGTAGCAAGGTGGAGGTCGGGGTGGTGGATGGGCCAGTTGCTTCCATTGCAAAACCACAACAACACCATCATAGTTCATTTGCTGACCATAGCTGCAGATAAATCTAAATTATTTTGAGGCATTGCCCAATATGGACAAGGATTTAGCATAAAATGAAAATGCTCAAGTACTTTTAAAACTGTGCTAAAGTACTTAAAGAAGAAGTGTACTTAGGTACGTTCCACCACTGCTACTGTAAGTGGAAAACAGGGTTCCTTTTACGTTGCAAGGTGGAGAGCAAGGGCGTGGAGGTTGGGGTGGTGGATGCTTCCGCTGCCAAACCATAACAACACCTTCAACATAATGTGTTTGCTAACCATAGCTGCAGATAAATCCAATTTATTCTACGGCATCGCCCAATAAAGACAAGGATTTAGCATAAAATGGAAACGCTCAAGTAAACTGTGCTAAAGTACTTGAAGAAGTTGCTTTCCACCACTGCTATTGTGTGGAAAACAGGGTTTCTTTTACGTAGAAACGTAGAACATAAGGGCGTGGAGGTCGGGGTGGTGGACGGGTCAGTTGCTTCCATTGCCAAACCATAACAACACCATCATAGTTCATTTGCTTACCATAGTTGCAGAGAAACCAAACTGATTTTGAGGTATTTCCCAATATGGACAAGAATTTAGCATAAAATGAAAAGCCTCAAGTAAAGTACCTTTAAAACTGTGCTAAAGTACTTGAAGAAGCGTACTCAGTTACTTCACACCACTGCTACTATGGGTGGAAAACAGGGTTCTTTTTACGTAGCAATGTAGAGCATAAGGGCGTGGAGGTTGGGGTGGTGGACGGGTCAGTTGCTTCCGTTGCCAAACCATAACAACACCACCATAATAAATTTGCTAACCCTAGTTGCAGCAAAATCAAATTAATCATGGACAAGGATAGGCAACTATTTCAGTTCGCCAACTCGAACATAAAACCTAAAATTACTGTTGTATTGTCGGAGTTGTGAACACACCATTCACCTCCTTGAATTTCACCTCTTCGTCTCCTCTTCCTCCATTTCAAAGCCACTTTAGCTACATCTGCCTCGCGGAACACAGGCCGTAATGCATTCCTCTCATTTTCTGTGCACGGAGCGCGCTATTTGCATTTTGAAATGTCAACCTCATGAAAAATTTGGACCTACAGTCCAAAATGATTAAAATGTCAGCGCAGTAGCAGACTGATTACACTTCTCCTCTGATTAGAGTCCCCCAGCTCTTCTTTAAGGGCTCCGGATCCGTGATCCCGCCATATGACATTTATAGACCCGATAATCAATGACGCCTTTTAAAAGCAATATTTTTGAAATTTAAATAAAGCGAGTTTTTAATTGTTGTTGATTGACTTCATTTCGGTTTTTATCATTTCTGTGAAAGGGATCATATGGCAACGCTCAAGGCGTAATTAAACAATAAAAAAAAGGAGAATAAATTGGCTGTGGTCCAGGGTCTGGGCTGAATGCCCGAGCGAGACGCGCATAATACTACGAGAGCGCCGCCGTGTCGAGTGCCTTGCTGAAGAGCGTGGAAAAACCTCACCTACCTGCCTCTTTGTGCATCAATTGACCTTCTCAAAAGTCACTAAAAATCAGGCTGATTACCTCCGCGTTACGCACTTGATGAGGCAAATTAATTCAACTGTAAAGTCGGGCTGAACGACGAGGCCGCGGCAAAGCGTTTTGTGTTTTTGAATATTTCCATTTAAATTCCCCGGAGAGATGTTTGTCCTCAACCCGGGGTCATCGCTAAACAAATTAAGGCAAAAAAAAAAAAAAAACTTGGGGCTAAAAGTCAACAGCACCTAGCACTCTTGTATAACAGACGGCAGCTCTACAGAATAAAAAGGAAAGTTAGATTATTATATTTCAGCTGACAGGTCGATCAATCAAACTGCCAGTCAATCGCATCTTCATATAAGGCCCCCATTACTAGATGCTCAGATTTAGCTTGATGTGTGTGTTGGTGTGTGTGTGCCTAAAACTTCCCTCTCTGTTCTCATGCATCATTCATCCGAGCAACTCAAACACAAGCCTCGCGCATACACACACACACACACGGATACTCGCAAACACACATACAACAGCTGTTAAATGCTGCGCTAACACATTTTACAGACCACCGCTGACAAGCCTAATTAGAACAGTGCTTTTAAGAGCGGCTGCCTTTTTCTTTTGTGTGAATGATTCCCTCTTGTTCGGCTCAGTTAAGGCAATTTTTCTTTGTCAACACCCACTTTTTTTTTTTTTTCATCTGTGGGCATCACCAACACAAACCAACTTCTAGAGAGATTTACATCCTCTCTTCCTTTAGGCCTGGGCAGGAACATAATACCTTAATGTACCATCCATCCATCCATCCATCCATCCATTAGCTATCCCCAATTTATCTTGTAGAGGATTGCAGGGGGATGGGCAGATTGCTATTTCACTAAAAGACTCAACAGATGATCACTCATATTTACACCTAGAGCCCATTTTTCTGCTTACAATCTGTACAGAAGGTCTTGAATTTGTACCTCCAACAGTTCATCCTTCATCCTTTCTACCGCTCTCCCTGTTTAGTCCATGCAGGTTTCCCAAGGTGTCCACCGCCGCCTCGGCCAGCATGAACCAGTAGTTACCCCGACGAGACGGGCTTTGACGTCGAACAACACCTACGCGGCGCACTCCTACTAGCTTGGAACCTTAACCTTACCATTGCAGCAGCTTATCTCCCATTTAGCTTTTTGATTCATCCACAAGGAGTGCAGCACCAACGCTGTGATCCCTCACTGGCTTCCCATCCGTCTACCTAATAGAGCCGGTGTATTTATTCAAACTGGTTGGTGAACTAAATGTAAAGGCATGTAAAAGCCTCTTTCTCTGTTGATTCTCAAGAGCAGTCGTCAACCCAAGACTTGCCGAAAACCCTCCAGGATCATCGCAAACATCTGAATATTCAGCGACAGAGCATAAAGAGGTTCTCAAAGCAACGGGCGAGACATCCTAATGACCAGAGACAGGTCAGTAATGATGCGGATGATTGGTTGGGAGGGAGGGAGGAAATGAGTAATGCGAGGTTTGATTGGCTGCTGACCCCGTGGGGGAGGTGGGGGGACATTAGTGGAGACTGACAGCCAGGACGCAGCGTGCACGGCGCCTCCTGCATTTCAGGATAATAGCAGGTAACCAAGATTAGCTTCCCCATATTGAGTGCTAAAGCAAACACACCGCGCACCTGCCAAGTTGGCCTATTGTAACGCCAGCACAATGGGAAGGAAACAGACAGTGGTGGTGCTTATTAGCAAGATTACAATGTGTCAATCACCTGAAGAGAGAAAGAACAACATAATAAAAGAGCAGTAGAATCCATTTCAGCAGAGGCTTTGATTAGCATACTTATTGCAGAACGGATTTCTATTGTGAGGTACTCCACTGCCTGTCAAAAACCCCTCAGTGAAATCATATTCTGTCACTTCTTTTTATTATTTTTTTTTTGGTGTTTGTTAGAGAGTTAGCAAGTTGTGCAACTCTGGTGCAACTTGTGACTCAGCCTTTCTTCTCCGAGGGTTTTTTTTTGTTGACGCGGCCCCTTCGGTTGGAGCGTTTCATCACTCCGACCCCGCCGCGACCCCGTGTTCGCCGCTTGGGGGGGGCGTCGGGGTGATTTGCGAGCTCACCCCTGCTATCATTAACTCCGCCGTAGCCCCCCTCAGGTGCCTGCCAGAGGGTGGCGGTTGCGACTGGGGAGGCTGCTCCGCAACCCGACCCAGCTGTAGGCATGCACTCGGCTGCTGGCAGGCTCCACAGTGCTTCCACTGTGCCCCCTTCTCCCTGCCAGCCTCCGGGACCCACAGGCGAAAAAAAAACCCAAAGAAAAACTGTTTCCCTGTTGCTTGGCAACCACAGGAAAGCCTTCCAGCGGGAGCGAGGGAGAGAGGCGGCAGAAGAAAGAGGAAAAAAAAAAACTGACTTAGAAAGGATTTTTTTGTTGTAATTTACCTAATTAAATTAAAGGATTACTCTGCCCTTTCTCAGTAATTTTCCTTCGCTTTGGCGCTATTTAATTTCCTCCCCGTTGCCATAAATAGTGTTTTTTTTCTTTTTCTGAAAGCTTTCTCGATCAATATTTATCTGCATTCCTCAGCGCTGGAGGAGGGAGGGATGGAGGGATGGAGGGGAGACGAGGAGGAGGAGGAGGGAGGAGGTCCGGAGGGAAGTAAACACAAGC